CCATATTGATAGCATGAAATTTGTTGAAAGAAATCTTGATAACGGAGAATTTGTTGAAAGTAATCTTGATAGCGTAGAATTTGTTGAAAGTCATGTTGATAGTGTAAAATATGTTGAAAGTTATGTTGTTAGCGTAGAATTTATTAAAAGTCATCTTGATAGCGTAGAATTTGTTGAAAGTCATGTTGATAGCGTAGAATTTATTGAAAGTCATTTTGATAGCGTAGAATTTGTTGAAAGTCGTGTTGATAGCGTAGAATTAGTTGAAAGTCATCTTGATAGCGTAGAATTTGTTGAAAGTCATGTTGATAGCGTAGAGTTTGTTAAAAGTCATGTTGATAGCGTAGAATTTGTTAAAAGTCATGTTGGTAGCGTAGAATTTATTGAAAGTCATGTTGATAGCGTAGAGTTTGTTGAAAGTCATGTTGATACTGTTAAGTTTGTTAAAAGTCATGTTGATACTGTTAAGTTTCTTGAAAATCAAGTTGATACTGTAAAGTTTGTTAAAAATCAAGTTTTTCAAAATTTTTTCAGGTACTTCGTTCTGTTAATAATGAATTCAATGGTTAAAAATCACAAAGTGATGTTTACCTTTTCATTCATAAACTAACAGCTATGGAAAACAACACAAATCGATAAAAGACATGGTGCAGAGACATGGTGACAAACACCAGAAACTCAGTTCAAAGGTATGTTGTTTTAATGATATGTTCATTTATGGATTTTTAAACAATTTATAGTTAAGTAAATTATTTCAATTGGAGAAGAATTGTTATTTTTTTAGGATTCGTAAGTAAATTCCTTGTGAACTTATAAAAAATTTTATTTTTCGATATGCAATTGCATTTTTTGACAAAATATAATTTGTTTTAAAGTTTTAAATAATTGTGTAGTGTAGACGTTAGGGCAGTGTAAAAAAAAAATATTTGTGACAAAAACTAATTTTATTTTGTAAAGCTGTGAACAGTACAAGTAAAATTTACATAGACAAGTAAAATGAAGTATATGTAAACTTTACATAGAAAAAAATATTTTGTTTATTTTAAAATTTTTAAATTTGTATAATACAAATGGATTTGAATTTTCTGCGTGATAACTTCTCTATAATAATAAATTTTATTTAAATATTTTAAATAAAAATTATTTAAAGGGTACTTTAAGAGTTAGAAAAATATCTCAAATGCATAAAAATTGTGATGTAAGTCCATCCTTTAGGGCGCCAAAATGCTGAAAATAAAGTTGTGAAGGTACAAGTGTCTCTTCAGTACTTACTGAAGTACGAACACCTTTAATCGTAATTATTTTTGCAGTTTCATATTGCTTGTATGTTTGGTGGACCTAAATTTCTTGTGAAAATGTTACCTGTAAACAAATTAAATTCTCAATTTTTATATGATCAAATTCATTTGACTGTTGAAGCAGTTAAAGAGTCTAATGGCAACGCCAAGACAATCCTTGCTTGTGATGGAAATCGAACTAATCAAGCATTTTTAAAAAAATTTGACACATTTCCTGAAAAACCTTGGCTAACCACCAATGGAACCTATTTGTTGTTTGACTTTGTCCACTTAATCAAAAACATCCGAAACAATTGGCTCACAGAAAAAAAAGGAGAATTAATTTTTTATGAAAATGGTGTTGAGAAAACAGCTTGTTGGAGTCATTTGATAAAACTTTTTGAAGCTGATTCTAATTGTCTAATGAAACTTTCTGATTTGAATGAAGTTTCTGTTCGACCCAGTCATATTGAAAGACAATCTGTTTCTACCTGTCTAAAAGTGTTTTCTGAAAAAACATACAGCGCTTTACTTAATCATCCTGAAACCTCCAACATCTTAAACATAAATGAGACTGCTGATTTTATTAAAATGGTTGTTACATGGTGGAAAATTTTAAATGTAAAAAGTGTGGGTGTAGATTGTAGGTTTAATGATGATCGAAAAGCTGTCATCAGAGATCCAAATGATGATAGATTAAAATTTATTTGGGATTTCGAAGAAATGGCATTACGTATGACAAGTAATCAAGGGAAGCGTATAAAACAATTAACACATGATACAGGATATTCCATAAATCATACATGTAAAGGAATTGTTGAGTTGACAAAAACACTATTAAAAGAAAAACACAAATATGTTATGTTGGGAAAATTTACAACAGACCCACTTGAAAAAGAATTCAGCAAATTAAGACAAGGATCTGGTGGCACATATTTTTTAAGTGTCCAGCAAATAATTGAAAAGTTCAATATTTCTAAAACTTCACTTTTGTTGTCATATAACATTAATGAGTCAACTCCTGATGCAGGACATTCTTGCCAATTTTGTGGATTTTTACTTGATGAATCTTCAGCTGAGGTCTTTGATAATTTACCAACACTAGAAAAAAGTATAACTGTTCAATCAAAGATGTCTCTTGTTTATATTGTTGGATATGTGTCTCGTAATGATGATTTGCTTAATGAAAATGAACTTTTAACCAGAACAATGTTTTATTTTGAAAAGTTTGGTCAATATCTAAAATCAGTCGATAGAGGTGGGTTAAAAGTTCCTTTTGATAATACTGTTCAATGGGTTTTCTTCTCATTTGTACTATTTAACTCTATTAAAGATAAAGTTTGTCGGACATCCCTGTGCAACACTTTTATGCTTATATCGGATCATTATTATTTTGACATGGAACGACATCATGGTAATATACTGTCAAATATTTTTATCAAAAACCACTGCAAACTTTCCACACCAAGATCGAACAAAGAACCGTCTCTGAAAATTTTAAAGTTGTCTTGTTAAGTTGACAGTTATTTATTGACACTTATGCTGTTATTTCTTTATTGAAATTTATTAATTGATTTAAAGTTTCTGTTTTATGATTTTAAAAGTATTTCTTATTTATTTAAGTCACTAAAATATATTCCTATTTAAAGGTGCAGTTACCCCCTAACAGTACTTTATTTAACTTTTGTTTTTTACCTGATATAAAACTTTTTTATTTCATTATTTAAGCAATTTTATGAATTGAAACAATTAAATAAAGTTTATCGTTAAAAACTTAAAAAGATTTCTAAATTGTACAAATTTTTACATAGTTTAATGCTTTATATAACGGGAGCAACATATTTTGTTTTTAAAAAAATATCATATTGATTTTTAAAATATCGGCCCCCACATTTTTTTCTAAGTTTTGCGTGTCACGGCCTGTTACTTATAGATCGCCGTGCTTAAAGTCATAAAAGCATAAAGCTATAAAAGTAGTGCAACGTTGTCGTGACATTTAATTTAAAAAAAAAATTAAAAGCAATGATAAGAGAATTGTTGAAAAAAAATTTAGAAACAACTGTTCTGCCAATTTAAAAATCGACTTGTCACAATTGATGACGTGACTTGAAAATCAACTAAACGGACTTCATTACCGTGATAAAAGCCGTTTTTTGTAAGAATCAGGCAAATTCGGGAAAAAGTGGAAGTATTCCCCTCGTTTAGGACAAAAATAATTCTAAAAACGTTTCCTTCACTCAGAATCCGCCTTTAAAATTTTGAGATTTTTTGAAATTTGTTCTAGAAATTTAGCTTTTGCCATATTTGAACCCATTTTTTGGGAAGAAGTTTCACATAACTAGGGAAAAAGTTTAGGGAAGAGGTTTCACATAACTGTTATAGCTAATATCACACGTAACCCAAAAAACTTTGTTTAAAAAATAAAAAATAGCTTAAAACTGAGCGATTGACTTATTATCAGTTTAAAAGTACAAAAATATAAAGTTTTGTTAATTTTTAATGATGTTTATTTCTTAACGCGGAGAGTTGCACATACATTTTTTGCAGGATGTAGTATCATAGGGATTTAGTCTGAAAATGCACAGAAAGTTATGTGACACCTGAAACCTATCCAAATATTAAGGTTTAAACTTGAAAAATAATCAAATAGTGTTCTTACAAAACGACCCGTTACCCGTTAAACCGGAGGTTTTGTAAAAATGTAAAAATGTCAATGTAACATGGTGCTAACATAATAGTAAAGAAAAATTTGCGTGATCTTGTTACATACATGAAATAACACGAATAAATTGAACAAAAATCGAACATCAAGAAAACAGTTTTGCTAATACAATGATACATAAAAGAAACATTTAAATGTATTTCCATTTAAAAATCAATTTTCCATTAATAAATAGAGTTATTTAGATGCTTTAAATAAATGATCCAACCCAAGCCGTCGCTAGCCCACTAATGCCCCCTACGAGGTCGGAGGGAGAACAAATTTAGGAGCCCTTTTTTAATATTTAGAGGTCTTTCTTCCAAATTTAAGATTTTTAATTTTAGTCTTAAGCATGCAAGTTTTTGAAGTGCTTTTATTTCGCTTCGCTCAAAACAAGTAACAGCGATACTTTCTTTTTAGAATCTACTCAAACAAAGAAACTCTTATTTCAAGCAGTTTTAAGAACATGACTGACAAAGAAAAGCAATAATATAACATAGATGAGTTGTTGACTTGATGAAAATCTCGGAAATTTTTTTCTATGAAAATACCGAAAAATTATATGGTCAACTAGTTGACGAAGGTATGTGGATATACTCTGGAATGATGGTAAAGGGATAGATAAATTAACTAAAAACTACTGAATAATTATTTTTCTTCAAAATTCTTTAAAACCAAATACAATGTCTCAGTTTTACCGTAAACAGTTTGCAAAGAGTAATAATTTATTTACTTTATAAATATAAAATCTGAGAAAATGGTTCAGAAATTAATACTTTTAGTAATAGAATTCCCGGAAAATTTTCATCTGTGAATATAACCAATAAATATATATTAAAACTCGATTATTTATAAAATATTTAAATAACTTTTTAGCAATGAAAATATAAAATGAAAATATAAAATGCAAACTTATTTAATGATACGCCTCTGTAAATATTTATAATATATTGCTAAACCTATCATACTATATTATATTAAAATCGCATATATATAATCATAGACATATTTAAAATCTTTTCAGTATTTTTTAGTACATACGCCGTCAGTTTTTTAAATTAAGTAACAATATCAAGTGCAGGAGCTATTCACAGCAAATGATCTTGGGTTATACAAAACTAGCCATGTACGAAAAGCCCTTACTCTCCTGATCATTTATAGACTATTTGCCATCTTTTAAGCCTTGTGGAAACTATACATTATCATCTTCTATAAATCCAATATGCAACAACATAACTGTATTCCTGCACAACCACAGTTATTTTAACTGTTGAGGATTTAATCTGTTTACTCAATCTGCGGATATACTTCCACCGCTTAGTAGCTAAAAATAAAAAAAGGTTGAATAATTGAGTTTGAATCTAGTTTAATCCTGTTAAAATAAAAGTGTTAACGCAATAGTCAAAAAAAATTTAATGTCTAATTATGTCTATGTAATTTCAATATATGCATACAAATTTCTCTCAAGCTGTTGTTTGTTTCTGAAAAATAATTAAAACAGGTGGCCTAGGTGGCCACCTGTATATATAAATTAAATTCTTTTATCATTAATTGAAAAAATAAAAAATTAAAAAAAAAAAAGTAATATCTTTTAATATCTTTACTTCTAACAACAAAATTATCACTGTTTTTATTTTTATTTTAACTTTTTTTTAACTGATAGATCAGGAATAAAATTATCAAGGCTAGAAGCAACCACTATTGGAGATGGAAGTTACTAGAAAAATCATGAAAAAGGTTATATAGTGCAAAATGACAGTTTACAGAAGATTATAATTGTTTTCCAGGTTCATATAATCAGGAAGATCATATTTTCTTGATTTATATAATTCATACAATCAGGAAAATTAAAAGTAAACACCAATCAAAAAACTGAAACATAAGATTTTTTATTTTGCACTTATGAACAGCCACATTCATTGAATGACGAGTAAAATAATGATTTTTTGTAGTCACAAGAGATTCTAGCTCTTTAGACCAGCAGGCTATTTATTATTTATAGAAAAGAGAACAAAAGGCGTGACAAAGGTTGAAGGTTAGCTGAAAGAGCAGGTTAAACTATGTTTACGATGCATTTTTTCAGAAAGGACATGTTTGATGTATTTCCCTTTATATGGCAACAGTATTCCATGCTAGGATGGATTGGGAATTTATAGAGATAAAGAATATAATCAGGAGTAAGAAAGTGACACTAGTGATGTACAGATTAAACATTTTTGGCCAATGCCGATGGATAGTAAAAGGCTGATAAAGATTATTTCTCAAAATCTCAAAAAGCAGAAGAATGCTAGATTAAAAGACAAGAGTCGCAATGTTTAAAGGTTTATAGGATATACCTAAAAAAAGTTATTTCTGCAGGTTGCAGAGCTTTAAATGGCTTGATAAAAAATACTTAAAAATGAAGCCAAAAATAGCCTCTTTTCTAACTTAATTCACATGTTATTTTATAGTATATGGTATATGGTAGTGTAACATTAGCAATGAATGTTGATGATCTCTAGTGTCTGGAAAGAACAATACAAAAGATGATTAGTTGGATATGCGGAACATGGAATAGTAATAATATCTGGTAAGATGTGCCAAAATGAGGTTTAAAAATATAGAAGTGGTTTGGCATGTAGAGTGTTGTAACGCAGATAATTGGATATCAGAGTGTAGAAAGTTATCAGTGTCAATAAAAAAAAAAGTAGAAGTAGAAAAACTTGCAAAGAGTGTGTTGAAGATGAAAAGCTTGTAACATGAATAGCTTTATTTAAGGAGATACTTAAGATAATAGATATTTGAATAAATGGCTTTATTTGAAACATCAAAACAACAAAGCGCAGACACAAGAACACAAAATAACAACGATGACATTGTTTTACATAAATTTTAGTTAATTTTATTTTATTATCAAAATTTCATTTAATTATTTTCAAAATGCAGGATAAAATTTTAAAATTGGTTCATCTGCCATCAATTGGAGAATCAAGAACTTAAATAAAAAAAGCTGATGCCAATACCAATGCCGATTGTGCAAAAAGTGGTTAATTTAGTCGATGCTGATTAATTGGTACATCACTAAGGATCACGAAAAACAGATGCAACCTTAGCAGATGCTAACTTTGCAATCAATTTTACATATGATTTCCAAGAATCATTAGAAGTAAGAAATAATCCAAGAAGACACTAAGTAGATGATTCATTCATTCGTTTATAGATACATGTTATTGCATCTAGATTTAGCTTGAAATAACTGAATTTTAAATTCAAAATTATCCAAGCACTGAAAGCTTTATGCTATAGCTGTGATGACATCATTTATAAGCTGTAATGCCCCTCCAAGAAATCAGAGAGTGTTGCGTTTTTATCAAGCTAAGAAAAAATGGTGGTAACACCAGCATAAATATCACCTTAGATGTAAGATTATAGAGAAGTTCATTAACGTAGATTAGAAACAATATAATAAAAAACCAAGAATAGAACATCAAGGAAGGACAATCTTTATACTAAAACTGCTAAGGAATGATTCAATAATTTAATATAATTCTCCACGTCACACAAATCACATCTACATAAGAAGAGACTACAATGGAAGACTTTATCGAAGACTTTAAAGTGTTAAGAGCAATAGCCCTAAAGCATCTATCTAATGCACAATAAAACATATTGGTAATTACTGTTAAAAAATCATCACTAGAATGAGATGATCAAAATCCTCATTAATGATCTGAAAGTAAGCTACTAAGTTGTTAATGAGAAATTAAGTGTTTTATGTATAAGAGAAATTTAGATGTTCAAGCAAAAGTTAAGATTTGATTTAAAAAATTAGGTTATAATTATGGTTTTTGTGTTTTATTACTTTTTATTTATAGTTTATATTTACTTTTTATCAAGGTTTTAAAAATCGAAAATATATTTTTACCTAATTATAAAACAAAAAAATTACCTGTAAATGCTGAATTAACTCTAAAGACTCTAACTGTAATATCACAGGAAAAACATATTAGTAAACTTTTCCATTTTACATAGAAGTTATATTTTCTTAGGCTAAAACATCCATAAATCTAAGTTCAGCAGTGTCTGGAAAGAAAACCATTGAGTACAACAACTTAAGCTTTTCTTTTCACATTTAGACACCAATTGCCAGTGAAAGGTTTAAACAAACAGTTTTGTTTAAATACCAATAATAAACGTTTATTATTGATATTTAAACAAACTGTTTGTGTTTATTCTGTAAATTAATTATGACTTATACTTTTAAACAAGTAAAATGCGCAATAACTTGTCAAAAACTTCTCTTTACATTTCATCAAAGAGCAGGCAGTAACGGTTCAAAATTATTTTATAATATATGTACCTAAGTTGTGATAAACATTTTCAAAACATTTGGCAATTCCGTTGCAAAAAACTACCCAAAAGGAAACAGAATTTTGTGTTTCCTTACCCAAAAGGAAACAGAATTTTATGTTTGTTTTTGGCATTTCGGTTTTCCGGCGTTTTAGGTTTCGACTTTTTAGCAACTCTGGTAGGACAGTTTACTCCAACGTAGGACAGTTTGCTCCGGAGTAAATTGTCCTAACCGGACGGATAGGACCAACTAGGACATTCTACTCCGGAGTAAACTGTCCGGCCGGACAGTTTACTCTGCGGACTGTTTTCTCCGTGACAGGACAAGACGCATTTTTTTTAATCGAACAAAAGCGTTTTTTTGAAAATTAAATTTGTTAGTGTGTGTTCATTATTACGTTTTAGAAAAAATAATATACATCAAACATTTTTTTTTTAATGCTCTTTCATATGAGATCATATCTTTATAGCACTTAGGGATCCTTTAAATTAAAGGTTTGTCAATAAATAAAGATACGCAAGTCAACGTTCATTAAAAAAACGGTATGTCACACTCTGGGATAAATAATAGTTGGCAAATGAGACTGTTTCAAGATTTTTTTATAGTAAATAATTTTTTAGTAAATAATTTTTCTTTCTTTTAGTCAATAGTTTCTTTATTAGAAATTATATTTCCATGATAAAACGGTTTGTAATTATTTTTTGATAGCTTCTGTACTCATTTTGCTATAAATTCTAATCTGAATTTTTATTCAACGATTGCTTTTACTAGGTTTTATTAAAGTACTCATGGCAATTTAATTGTAATTAATGAATCAATTAAAAATCGCATTTACATTTGATTTGTTTTTTTAACGTATTTTTTAAATGCGCTAATTATCAAAACTTGCAAAGAGCCGTGGTCAAGTTGTTTAAACAAAGAACTATATGCTTGGTCATATAAAGCGTCCTATCGCACGCCTCTTACAAGAAGGCCTGAATTAGTCTTCTATAACTAATGTTTAATTTTATTGCTCCTTACTCATTTGTGTGTGTTACTTATTCGTGCGTATTGTTACACTTGACAATATAATAAATCACTTTATATTTTTTGACCATATGATAATGTATTCTCAAATCTTTATTAACTCTGTTATAATCTGTTATATCTGTTGTATCAGTTATAGGGTTTTAAATTTTATATTAAATAATTAGATGCAATCATAAATTATATTTCATAAATGTGTAAATTCCTGTAATATACAAAGTGCTTCAATGTGTTTTATGTGTATTTAAAGTGTTGTAACTTGGATTGTGAGTTTACAGTAAAAGTGTAGTCTGGCTGCTTCGTCTGGCTCAATAAGTGTTTTTGTACTCATACTTGACTTAGGACATTAATTGATTGCTTTTAAACTACAATACTATTTTATAATACTGTAGCTATTTTTAAAAAAGTCTTACAGTAAAAAAATCAAATTTGACTTTTTTACAAAATAAGCTTATTTAGATGCCTACAAACGTTATTGAATAAATATTTTCAAAGAATTTGAACAAAATCAAAAAAGATTTCAGTTTCAAAAAATATTTTACAAAGAGGTTCTCTAATAATTTTTTAATTTTGTTTTTCCTGATATATGTAACAAGCATCTTAACGTTTTACGAATATATCTTTTAATTCAATCAATCAATTTAATAAGTCAAGTTTACTTATATTTAATATTTAATAGTTATATACAATTATATTTGACTTCTTGCATAGATTGATTACTTTTATTGTAATTTTAATTTTTATGTAGCTGCAGCTTTTTCTGCTACAACAAGAAAGATGTTGTACTCACATATAATTGACTGAATACATTGATTAATTGTTTTTATTATTTAAATTTTTTTTAAATTAGATTTTTTATAAGTAGTATCTTCCCTTCAAATAATTATGTCTATTCATGCTACATTAAATATGTTGCATGTTCTAAAACCAAGTCATTTGCATTACATATGCATAACAAGTCATGTGAATAGCATTTTCATGTACACAAACATAAAGAAGGTATGTCATTGAATGAAAATTTCACAAATGTTTTATTTGTACATGTCCTTAATTTATAGTTTTTGACAAGTATTTTTATGTGTCATATGATGTGGTAATTTGTTAGTGTTTCTGTGTGTGTGCTGTTAGTAGTTTAAAATGTGTGTGTGCTGTTAGTAGTTTAAAATGTGTTAGTTGTTTAAAATGTGTGTGCTGTAAAAGTAGTTAAAATGTGTGTGTGCTGTTAGTAGTTTTATTTGTACATGTCCTTAATTTATAGTTTTTGACAAGTATTTTTATGTTTTTTTTTTTTTATTTTTTTTTTTTTTATTTTACTTCACCTCCTCAAGGCCGAGAAGGCCACTACAAACGAGGAGGCTACTTATTTTGTGGCTATAACCCTCTCTCAACTCTATAAATCCGAAACACGAACCTTGACGGACAAGGCCGCTGCGCGGAGAAACGAGTTGAGCGCGGTACTACCAGGGACGTGGTGGGGATCGAACTCGGAACCACTCGTTTATGAAGCGAGCGCTCTACCACTACACCACTACCGCATGTAGTGGTGTAGTGTCATATGATGTGGTAATTTGCTAGTGATTCTGTGTGTGTGCTGTTAGTAGTTAAAATATGAACTCTCTAACTAATTCTCTAACAAGCTAATTTCTTGGTCCACTTTAAGGTTTGAGTAATTTAGAGTTTACAGTAATATGTTATGTTATTTTTTTAACTTTGTTATGTTAATTTTGTGTTGTTTTGTGTTGATAGATGACTTGGTTTACTTTCACGTTGAGATCTTTAATTTAAAATGATTATTGGGTAGTTTCATTACTTAAACTGACTACATATAATCATTCGCTAAATGCTAGAGATACAGTTTTTAAATAAAAAAAAAGTATATCTTAATGTGATCATAAATCTTTAGTTAATTCAAACTTGCAACAATAAATCTTGAAACATTCACAAAAGATAAACAACCTCACAAAGTAAGTTTCTTATTTTTTTTCTGTTTAGTCACATTTTTGAGTTTTCAAATAAATAAATAGAGTACGTAACAAATTAATGTGTATTAAGTGTATTCAAAAACAATATTGTTCCAATTTTAGGTCGATTTCCTTATCTTGTGACTAAAATGTTCTGAATGTTGATTGTATCCAAAAAGCTAAAACAAAGCTTGATAATCTTCATACTATTTACAAATAGATATACAATAATGAAAAAATGTTTCAAATTAAGTTTTATTTATAAGTATTTTTAAACATTTTTTTTTTATGTTAATTTTTTTATTTTATCTCAAAAAAATTTTTTGTTTGTTTCTCAAATAAATTCCTTTATTTTACATCTTTGGAATTGTTTTGAATGGGTATTGTCGGGGAAAGTGCAAATCCGCGTAACTAGCATTGGCTACTATATTTGGATATTATTAATTTTAACATCAAATATTTATTTTTGAGATTACAAAAAACATGATAATACTCTTTATACGAAAATGAACCCAAAATCAGTTAAAATAAAAGATATATAAAATTTTAAACTTCTCCAGTAAAAATAATTTACTGTAGATACGCGTATTATCCAATTAGTAGTATTATCCAAGTAGTATTATCCAATGCTATGTAAAAGAACTATTCTTTATAAAGCAAAAATCAGTGTAACTAATATCAATAGAAGAAATCTTTTTGACTGTGGATATCAAATGTTACAAATCACTTAAAACAACCACTCATGGTGGCTGATAGCTGAAATATTTTAGTACTTTGTACCATATTTACATCTCCTAAATAATAATTTAGAACATTCAAAATCTGGTGGGAAAAAGAGGGGGGGCAATGAACAAGGCAGGAGTGGAATGCTATAAAACAATATATATACCAAATATTAGTAAAGTAAAAAAAAAAAATTACATTATTAGTAAAAATAATGTATGATTATTTTATTGTAAAAAAATATTTTGTAAATAATTTTTTTTTACATAAAAATAATAGAAAACCCATCCCAAACTATGATATTTTAAAATAGATTTGGACATCACAACACTACCACAGATAGTACAAAATAAACAATTATAATAGGTAAAATATTCTTTATATATGAAAATTACTTTTGATTTTTTTTATTTATTGGTTTCTAATTTATAGGTACCGTTCAAATGATGATCAGTTGAGCTTGAAAATCAGAGCATTAGATAGTCAGAAACAATAGGCTCAATGAAAACATTTAAAAATCTTTTTTTGAATTAAAAACGCTTCAAAAAGCTTTTTTCTGGATATTTAGGTGCTCCAACAAATCCTCATGGCTTTATCAATGTGAATGACGATTTAAGAATGCAACCACAGTAGACATGTGTAATGGTGCATGCTTGTTTAAGTGCATGTCTTGATAAATTGCTCATTTTGCAAAACCTTCGGAGACAGTTACCAGAGCATTTAAACAAATATTACCAGGGCGTTTGAACAATTATTACCAGATTGTATAAGAATTTTAATTTAATTAAAATTTATTTTAATTGAAAAAAATTTATTTAAATGAAAAATTTAGTTTTAAAGGAATGTAAAATAGTTCTGCAATTTTTATTACTTTTATTTGTCATTTGCAATGTGTAATGGTGCATGTTTGTTTAAAAAGTTAAAACCCAGACTGTTGAACGATACAAGTTCAAATCCCGCCACCGACAACTCACTACTTGAGTAGTACTTTGGTATGCAAAAATGTTGGTCAATAACGGACGCTACTTTGGATTAGTCTTAATGACTATTTGTGGTTGTTCCTATGCTAAGCCAACAATATCTTTGGATATAAGAACAATTGTATAGAAAAATATAGCATGAAAACTCAAATAAATAAAATAAAAAAATTATAGAATGCATGTCTAGATAAAGTGATCATTTTGTAAAACTTTCGGAGACAGTTACCAGAGCATTTAAACAAATATTGCCAGGGCATTTGAACAATTATTAGCAGAACCAAAAAAGGAAATAACTTGTAAATTATTGTCTTTTCATAAAATTAAAATAAACAAATAGTCAGGTGACCAAGCAAAGTATAAACTTAACAGTATAAAAACTTAATTATCAATTAATTTTCAAAAACATAATGCTTTAACTTTAATCAAAAGTGATAAAAAAACTGATTGTTAACTGTACTTTACTAGATGCAAGCATTTTATTCTAGAAATTAAGAGTAAGTATGATATATGCGGTTGTTATAATACTTTAAAATGAAAGTTTTAAAGTAACTATAAAAGCATCATGTCAAAGCAAACTTTATTTAAGGCTTTACTAATATCAATAATTTCTACATGTATATTTAAAGCCACGTGACAAGTAAAATAAAACATTTTTCATAATATTAACAGACTTAAAAATGGTATGACTTTTCTAAAATCTAAGTTGATTAGAAGTCTTAATGAATTTTTTAATAATGAGTGAGATAAAAACGTGTTTCAAAATCTGGAATAAAAAATCTTAGTATAGTTCTTCTTCACCTTTCCAACTTTACTTATAAAACTTTTTTTTTTACAGTAACTATCATTAAGATAAAAAATATCTTTAAGCTCTTCCATTTTAAAAATGATTAAATGGCTGAATTTTGCTTATTTATAGTTACTACAAAATGTATCTTATACCTATACTTTATATTTACTTTATCTATGCCAATCTGGCTCAGGTTGCTTTTTTTACCACTTGATGTAGAATGGTTAAGATAGTAAGATAAAAAATAAGCTAGGCAATTATTGATTATTTTAGTGCAGGTATTAGTTTGTTTAATGAGTAATCAAAAGAGTAATCAAATGAGTAAGTTAAAAAGTTTTCATGCAACTAATAATAAATGCACACACCACAGACAGAGATAAAAACATATTTTTCATTCTTTTTTTCTCTAGGGAGTTTCTTCTTGTTATTAATGTCTTTACCTCAACAAAGTTGAAGGAAATTTACATCATCATAGTCAGTGGACTATTATTTATTTATTTTTTTGTTACAACCCTCTCTTAACTTTTTAAATCCAAAAATATTGGCATAAAAGTCTGCTGTATAGACAGTTAAAAGCAGCTAAACAGGCAAAGAAAAGAAAACTTAATCAGAAAAAGTTTATAAGTTATTAAAAAAAATATATTTTACTCTTAAACAGCCTATAAACATCTCAAGCAGAAAAAATATGAAATTATGGAAAAAAGACTTAAAATAAATAATGAAACTGACTTTATTCTATCATACAATAGTTGGTTTAGTTGTGAATTTTCAGGTGACATGAAACGGCTTTTCATAATAACAACACCCTAATATAAAACGTTATTGCAGAAATTTTGAAGTAAATTTTATTATATCAATCTTTACTAAAAATTGTACTGATTCCTGTACAAGGAATCAATAACCTGGTACAGGAATCAGTTCCAAATCTAATTTTTTTTAATTACTTGTCTTGTTAATTAAAATTTGTGTGTAAGAGTTATAGAGTTATAGTGAAGATTAAAAACAAGAAAATAAAAAAATTTATAGTAGTCTGTAACAAATCTATCCCAGGTCCATTGTTATGCACTTGCATTAATTGGAGAAACTTAAATCATGCCACCTGTTCAATACCAACGTTCATGCTTTTTAGTAATTCTACTACCTAATACATAGGAGTGTTGGCATTGTATATTAATAGTGGTAAGGGGATTGTGTGGTAATAAATTACATTAACTCTTCCATAGTATTATATTTAAATAAAAAATGACTTTATAAAGGACTGTCTGAAATCATAAGCCTAAATAATACTACATTTAACAAAAAATATTTTTTTTGTTAAATGTAATATTAATAAAAGTAGTATTAAAAAAAGGAACTTACCTAAAAAATCAAACAAAGAACTTTTTTCATTTTTTTTAAGAGTGGTCAAGTTTGCTAAATGATTCAAAAGACTACTTTCTTTTTTATTTGTTAATCCACAGATCATTGGTAAAAGGTTCCAATGTTTTTTGTTTAACATTATCTCGGTACTACTGAAACTGTTATATGCAAACACAGATGCGCAGAACTCCATTATTGTCAAATGAACAAATTGATAATGATAACCAAGATTTGTTTCAATTCTCTCAATAAAACCATAAAATCTCTCTTCAATTTTTTCAAAGTCACTAAAACACACTTCAATTTC